GAACCGCCCAAGGTTGAAAAGACTTAAGAAAGCAGCTCTAGCCCAAGGGCGGAAACTCCCCCCAAAGAGGAACGCAAATCCCTCTATTGGCGACTCTTCGTACCATACACTCAAACTCCCTCAAACTTCTTCCAGGCTTCCAGACATTCGCGTCCCGTCTAGTCTCCCGACTTTCCAAATGCCTAGGGCCATACCCTCTACAAATGATGCCACCTGACCTCCCTCTACGATGCGGGCCAAAATCCCGTCTACGGGTATCCAGTAACACCTCGAACAGACTCCAGACTTAGCGACCTTCCTTTCCCTGCCTTACCAAACTCTGGTCTTGGAGATCCTTTCTTCCTCACTCCCTTGGCGACTCTGTAACTCCCCAACCTTACGCCTCCGCCTTTCTACCCTCAGGCTCCTTAGCTGGATTTCTGGGCTAGAACCCGGGCCAAGGGAGACTCAGCAATCCCGGCCCCCGTCACAGCCACGAGGGGTGAGTGCTCTTCAGCCCACTCCTCCTCCACGCCCCTCATACTCACGTGTCACAGGCAAAGGGAGCAGCCACAGCTCAGAATCCCCGGCCGAGTACCTGCTCGTGGCTGGGAGACAGCACCAGCGAGGGGCCGGCCGCAGACCCCGGTTCCAGAGCTCGCGGCAGAGCCAGCGACCCCACGAGCGCCTCGCTGGGCTCCACTCCGGGAACCGGAAACAGGAAGTGCCTGGCGGCCGCTGGGCAACTGCTCCTCCCACTAGACCCCGCGACATGTCACGGTAGAACCGTTTCGCCGCTTTCCCCTTCCCGGCCTCTCAGATCACCCCGGACGCTGATTGGCCAGGACCTTGGGCTCCGCCCTCGCGGCATCAACTCCAATCCCTATCGAGATTTGCAAGTTTAGTTCCACCTTTGCGGGTCGCCTTTCTACTGACTGGGGTCCCAGACTCCCACCTCCTGGCCTCTCGGCTCGGGCCTCTGTCACGCGGGGTCACGCGGGGGTCACGCGCGGTCAGGCGCCAGGCTCGCTCCCTGGTAGGTCGGACCGGAGGGCGGCGGAAGTGGAAATGCGGGGCGGGGCCAGATCCCCAGGCCGCGGCGGGAGCTGTAGTTCTCGTGCCGGTTGCTGCCTCAGAACGTCTGCCGCCTGAGGGGGACGCTGGTTCGCTGTGTGCTGGACCCGAGTCGCGGTGTCCCTGGAGGATAGTGGAGAGCGACTGGGTCGTGGTCCTCCTGGCTTTCTTACCGTCACTTTTGCTCTTTACGTCCTGTCTCCGGTTTAGCACCTTGAGGTGCGGCAGGGGTTACTATTACAGTTAGCCTTATCATCCCTCTGGCATTTTGTGTGATAAACACTCTGCAGCCACTTCTGCTGACCGAGACAAGTCAATTTTTGGTCTTTGCGCCTTTGCTAAGATCCTTTGCGGGTCTCTCACGTGTGGCGTCTTAGCCGTGTGTGGAAGTCCTACCCGTTCATATAAGCTCGGTTCAGAGGCTCCTGTGACTCCTGGACTCACCCTTTTCAGCTGGAACCGTTCCGTCCTCCCAGTGCCTGCTGGCTGCTCGCACGTGGCTTTAGTCTGGTTTCTTTCTGCTTTGATTCCTCCGTTGCATTTGCGTGTGCCTCCCAACGTCTCCTCGGATGGGGACTGGATTTTGATTCCTCTTTGTGTTCACCAGAGCTAGAACAGCGTTTTGAATCGAATAATAATAGAAGCTGACACTGTGAGAAACCCGGCACTGTTGTACGTGCTTTCAACGAGTATCAGTTCGCTTCACCTTCACGACCAGCTTACCGAGGAAGTATCTTATCCCCATTTTACAGTTGAGTAAATTAAAGGCGACAGAGGCTAAGTGACTTTTTTTTTTTTTTTTTACTTACCCTGGGCCCCACAGCTACTAAGTTATGGAGTCAGTGTTCCGGCTCCATCATTTAGGGATAAGTTAGTTATATAGGTTGTGTATACAGTCCAGAGTTCATGCTGTCGACACTGCGTTATACTGACTATAGGAAACTGTATTTGTTTATTAACTGGTACATTCAATTCAGGATAGGTGGTATATCTGGGTTGGGTTTGGATGTGTCTTAAGTAAAAAATACGAAAATTGAAAGATGAGTTGCTTTCTAATAATAAAAGTAATTTGTGTATTGACACATACACACTACTATATATAGATTAGATAACTAATAAGAATCTGCTGAATGGCACAGGGAACTCTATTCAATACTCTGTAATGACCTGTATGGGAAAAGAATCTTAAAAAGGAGCGGATATACGTGTGTCTATAACTGACTCACTTTGCTGTACAGCAGAAGCTAACACACTGTAAATCAACTATACTCCAATAAAAATATTAAGAAAGCGCTTCTAGGAGGTTCCTAAAATCAAATGTTGAGGCTGCCTCCTCTTTAGTATGTGCAGAAAAGGGAAGGGTACGTGAAAGAGCTAGGTATTCTGATGCTTGCTTCAATTCATGGCTTTGAAAATTGTCCCAGGCCTGCTCTTCTGTCGACTCTCAGGTGGGAGCTCTGTTGGGAATGCCTTTTTTAACCTCTCCAGAGCTTTGTCCTGTGTGAGTTTTTTGTTACAGGTTTTGCTGTGGTTTCACTGTCAAATACACTCTACCTGCTCACATTTTCTCATCTGCTTAGCAATCTTTTGATATTTGTTTGGTAGTTTCTCAGACCCATTGTGCATGTATTCTATTTGCCATCTTGAACCAGATTTCAATTTTGAACTTTTATTGATGCCCTCCTTTAAAAAATGATCATATTTAACATATTTCAAGGGCTAAATATATTTTTGTTTTTGGTAATTTTCAATTTTAATATATCAATAAATTAAACATTTTAGAAAAGATGCAAGAAGAGTACAAAGAACTCTTGTATACACTCTACCTAGATTTGCCAGGTATTTACGTGTTGCCCCATTTGCTTTATTGGTCTCTCCGCCCCACATCTTCCCT